GGCCGGTGGGGTGGAACTGCCATCTTAGCGTCTGTCTGTCTGTGACTGTGCGTGTGATCGGCAAAGGCAGGGTCTGGGATCTGGAAATAGTCTGCTGTGATGTAACAGCAGCTTCACACAGGCGGCGTTCTCCTATATGGTCAAGTGAAAGTCTGCACAAGTTCGCCACCGGGATGAAGTCGTCCTTTCCAGTTATTTCCTATGGTCCTGATTCTTATTTCTGCTGCAAAATTAATCAGTCTATAAATTTCAGGGAATAACATTTCATAATATTTCAAATTGTTCAGGTGATACGGATGCTTACCAATTCTGAAATTTTTATTTCTGTATAACTTAGATGCATAAACTTGTAAATTTTATAGACAGATTGTTCATCTTGCTTCTTATGCGGCGTGCTTCTCTGTTAACAAAAGCATGGAGATTTTTGAGAGGTTTTTTTTAGTTTAGTGAAGTTAAATAAAAGCTTGGTGTTACTGCAAGCACTGTGACAGCACTGTTGTACTGTGCCCTGAATGCAAAGTTTCCAGGCAAAACTGGACTGCGGTATATCTCAGGCTGAACTTAAAAGTTGCTGAAATCCATTATGATTGAGACAGATTATTCCAGTAGGTGTTGTGGTTTGGGGTTTTTCATTGTGTTTGTTTTTAATACTGATGACTTACACAAAATGGTATATTCCATAAACGTTACTTACTGGTTTGGGAGCCAAACCATTTTCATTGAGAGAAGTGAAGCATATCTTGCTTAGTAGTTTGAAATGTCAAGTAGTTGACATTTTATACCAAATAATAACTTAGGGAATGAACCACAATTAGGTATTCAGTATGTTCTTTAATTCCAAAGACATTGGCTAACTTCCAGTTGGGGAAAAAAAATGGCCTGAAATAATTTTCCAAAATAACAGTAATTAAATAACGTTTGGTAGATAAATCACTTTGGTACAGAAGTGTATAGGTGCAAGACTGATACTAGTAATGCAGTGTGTTCATAATGGATTTATTACTTCTCAACAGTTGCAGGATCCATAGTATTGAATAGAATTATTAATGCCTATGTGTTTGTGTTAGATACAAGGTAGAGTATAATACCTGTAAATATGTATTTCAGATGTGGTTTCTGAGTATCAGTGGCAGTAAGCAGTATTTAATTTAGTTTTGATGAGTGTTTCTAAAGCAATATCAATGCTCTTACATCTAGCATTTGTTGAAAACCATGCTGAACTGTCAGACAGAACTTGCATAGTGAAGAGTAAACTTTGGGTGGAGCCTTCACACTCCCAAGATCTTTATTAGTTACTTCTGAAGAAACCTCTGACTTCTGTAGTTGCCATGAGGGTTCCAGGTGCCTTTTTGGTGTTTGTCATACAGCTCAGTCAAGGACAGTAATACCAGTTACTTGCTATAATTGACTAAAAATGCAAAATGTTTAGAGTATAGCCAATCAATAACAGTGTTGATAACTCACTCAAGTCTATTTGAGTTTTTTATTTTTTTTTTTCCTTTTTTTAACCATAAGTTTTTAAAAAAACTTATTTGAATAACTTACAGGAAGAAATACTTTTCCAATCCACTGCCTGGGGCTCTAGTGTACTTTTTGTGCTTGTCTGTGTTCTGCATGATTGTAAAATCAGGAATATGGTTGGTTATCTTTTGTGCCATATAAAATGCTAGTGATGCTGTATAGGTATATCAAGGGACTTATTTTTTTAGAAATATTTTTCTTACTTTGCCTTTGTATTTGGCTAGGCAGTTTTTAACTTCTCAAAATGAACAGTTGTGCTTCAAAGAGTCTTTAAAATTGGAAGCAAGTTGTATTTTTACTATTTTCTAATATACAGACCTTTTAAAGAACAGTTATGGCATGCTGAGAGTGACTAGTTAAAAGCATTAAACAGTTTGAAATGCCATTTCAGTTGGATTTATTAACTTTATGGTAAAGAATACTTTAAACCTTTTATTGCAAATGGATTGAAGTCACATAATTAATGGAATGTACAAAAGTTGCAAATTTTCCCTAAAAAATTACCTTGGTTATGTGTTGTTGTTTTTTTTTAAACATATGCTCAAATCGTATAGGCAATGTTAAACATATGTTAAATACATATTTGCTATACTATTTATAAAACTTTTTCCACAGATTACACCACCTCCCTCACTGTCGGATCCACTTAAGGAACTATTTAAACAACAGGAGGTTGTAAGGATGAAACTACGTTTACAGCACAGTATTGAAAGGGTAAGACTAAAGTAATTTATTTTTTTATTTCCCAACTTTAAGCTTTAGGGTTTTTTCTTTCTCAGTGGACAGAGTATATTTTGCTCAATTTAACAATGCTTTAGAAGTAATCTGCCTTCTATCCAAATTTATGAATTGGAGAAACTTGTAAATAAAAAAAAAATGGTTTGGACAACTGTTAGCAGAATACTTAAGTCAGTAAGATAGCAGCTTTTTCCTGTTAATTGCTCTAAGATGTGGCCCAAATTTTTCCTGAGGCAGTAGGGAGTGGGAAGAAAGCTGCAGACTCTAGTTTTGAAAGCTAGTAACAGTTATAGACTTCAGAACCAAATTGACTGAGTTAGAAGAATTGAAGCAAGAGTGAATTCTGTATTGGTAGAAGACACATGTGGCTCTAAGACTAAACATTATTTGCAATATTCTACATGCAAAAACTGCTAAAATTATGTTAGAACTACAGCTGTAGGCTTCACTGAGTTTGAACACAGAAATTCAGAAAATACTCCTGGTTTAAGAGTATTCTTTATTTTTTTAGGTTGCACAAATCTTTTTCCTTGGCAGCCTAGGTTTAGATGTCTTGTCAGTATGGTGAGCCAGATTGCTTGTGGACACAGACAGGACCCTTTCTCATGTAGAGTGTATCTTAAGGATTTCAACACAGTTATGCAAGCAGCTGACTCATTAAAACCTGACGTGGTAGTTTTTTGATTAAGTTGTTTTGGATGTGGTTTAACAAACCAGTTGGAGGAGGGGTTTTACTCAAATTTGGTATTTCAGTGTAAAGCTAGGTATAAATAACAAGCACAAAGAACGTAAACATGGTTCAAATTCTGACTGAAATTAGTTGTAAACAAAGGAAAGATGCTGCTTTTTCTGTTTTCCAAGTTTTTTATAATCCACCTTCTTTTCTTTTGATAAAAATTAGAGCCATTATGTTGGAGGGCAGTAAACACACACATACATTTGTTTATGTCCTATAAAATTATGTGTATTTTCAGTTATTTTGCTCAAATAGACTGTTCTTCAAATCAAGTCCACTTTATACAACTGTAACTCAAGCTTGGCCAAGTGAGCTATATTTTCTTGTCTCAGGTCAGGAAAGAATCTTCCTCCAGCTATGGATTTATGGACTTTGTGCATGTTATTTAAAGAAAAAACTAAAAATAAAAAAAATTATTTAAATTAATCTGCACATTATATTTCTGCTTCAGTTTGCTTGGCCATTGGGCCTGGCATGACAAGCATGTGACAAAAATCAATACAGTTGAAACTCACAAACCTATATCCCAACCCTGTGCTCCTCGTGACTTTCATCTTTCACCTTCTTCATTAACTAGAACTCTAGAACTTGCCTCAGTAGCAGTAAGTGGAAAATCTGGGCATGACATTTAGCCAACAGTGGTGGGGGGGGGAGAAGCTGTTTTCAGTTTTGACATTCAGAGTACACTCTTTGCATCATTAAATTGAAATGTTGGATTTGATTAGATGAACAATTCTCTCCACCCACCCATTTCTTACACTGTTACAAAGTGCAAGCCCTAAAAACAAATGTTTAAATTAATGGACAGTTTTAGGAATCATACGGGAATGCTTAATTGACCAAATGTATATTTATATGTTGGTATCTTATTCCATTAGGAAAAGCTTATTGTTTCTAACGAACAAGAAGTTCTACGTGTTCATTATCGAGCAGCAAGAACGCTAGCTAATCAAACACTACCATTCAGTGCCTGCACTGTTCTGCTGGATGCCGAGGTTTATAATGTGCCTCTGGATGCTCAGGTAAAGAGATGTATTTCAGAATTTCAGACAAAAAGGTCTTTCTAGCCTGACTCTAAAGGAGTGTTTGGAGAGAATTCTATTCCCATCCTGAAACTGTTGTTGATTTGTCTGGAATTAAGATTTAGCACATTACAGATTGTTACTTTGATTAGGCCTCGTTTGGGTGTACGATAACAAGAGAGGATATGGGTGTATGTATGTTGGTTTTCTGTTTTGTACCATGTCTGGTTTTCTTTCACCTCTGGAAATAATGAGAAGGATAAAATGAGAACATTACTCTGCTGTTTTTTATGAAATCAAATTTCAGTCATAAACAGAACATATTTTGGAAACTTACAAATATGTAGCTTAAAGAACAAAAAAAAATTACCAGAATATAAGATCATAATTTTTGTCACTAGTCCAGAGGATTGGAATGCAGCAGTCTGTGAAGTGATGAGATTGGTTCGTGAAATTTGGAAATGTTTTGCGGAGATACTCACGTAATGTTTTTCTCCTGTCTACAAGGCAGTAATTAGAACTGTTCCATAAAAAAACAGATGACCAACAGTGAAATGTTGAACGCTACCAGATGAAATTATTTTTTTTCAAAATCACCTCAAGCTCCATATTATTTACATGCGCCACGTTATTTACGTGTTCAGTTTTGGTATTTAGTTCCTGATTAAAGCATAAAATGAGCAGTATACTTTATAATCTTCATACCTTTTATGGACTGCCACTCAGAGGTTTGCTGCGGCCGTATCTCTAAGAATATAATTTCATGGCATCGGTATTTTGTGAACAGGTAAATGGAAACTGCATTCAGAACCTGTTTCAGTGAGTGTGAGGAGCACATAATGCAAGGAAAAAAAAATTGTTATGGGTGTAATGAAAGTGTTGATGCATTGGATGTTGGGCATTTTAAAATGAAACACCTACATTTCCGACATATGTGGATTTAGTCTGGGACCCCTCATAGGATTTTTACAGCTTTCAGTGTTTCCTCAGTCTGTTACTTCATTTTTTCCCATTTTTAAAAAACTAGAGCTATGCACAATGAG